ATGTGTTACATTAGGGTAGTTGTTCTGAAACTTTAACATGCATGGAGTCATAAGGAAGGCTTGTTAAAACACAGATTGCCAGACTCCACCCCCAGGGGCTCTGACTGAGGAGGTCAGGGTGGGCCCTGAGAATTCACATTACCACAAGTTCCCAGGTGATGCTGATTTGATGCCACTGGCTCAAGGACAGCACTGGGAGAGCCACTGCATTAGGAAATCACATTCCTGTTTCAAGTAGAATTATAGCTTTGCCTTTGGGGTTTTCTGCAGGGGTTGAGAACTTCCAAAAAAAAATGTAAACCTCGAAACAAAACCACTCTTTCCCACTACAGAAACTTGTTATTGTCATAGATAAACAGTTGGGTTTTGTTTATTCAAATACCAAGAGAATTTAGGGATTATCTTAATGCGACCCAAAGGATGTAGGAGTAAATCACTAGCTAGTCACAGAAAATTTGGGATGTTTGCTATTCCTTCCACAGAGTGTGCCCCTATCCTCTGCATATTATTAGGCAGTTGCAGGGGCCTCCCTCCAGAGCTCCTGGCTGCTCCCCAGAGGTTTTTCTTTCTAGCTAAAGGAGAGCTTTCACCTAGAGCTTCCTCACATCTATGAAGAGTAGCCCTCAGACCTGGTTTTATGGAGCATAAAATACAAAGGAGGGAAAGGAGCTACACAGGATTGCCAACTCAACTGTTATCACAATCCCTTTATGAAAAAAGGTCATTTTAACCCAGAAGAATACTTACTCTCCAAGTGAAGGATAATTCTTTAAGTTGCATAATTGTATGAAAAACTTCCTACTGTCTCCTCTCCATATATATTTTTAATTGCAACCAGTGCTCTAGGACTTTAAAGATCACGTCACACACACACACACACACACACACACAAAAATTACTTGTAGCTTTACTTCTAGTTTTAAGTGCACTGTTATCAAATGATTTTATGGAAGCTCTGGGTGAATTAGAAATTAGTTCATAAATACAATTTTATTACTCTATTTACACACACAAGAAAGAATGACTTGAAGTAAAGGGAACAACAAACACCACGTGATATTAGGGTACACTCTGACCATACAGTGTAATTCCTAATTATATACTTATGATGAGAGGATTTTATTATACTTTTGATTACAAAAGTACTTTCTGTCTCTTCCAAATAAGAACATAAACTTCCTGAGTGTGAGCACCATGACTTCTCTTGCCTTTTATCTCTTATGTACAAAGCACACACTGGCCTGGATAAATTCATGTGGCTTCATAGTTGGGTAGATCTGCCTTGAGATTATAGTTGCTTCATTCCTTGTCAATGGAAATGTGCAACATAAGCTTTCTTAAACAGATGTTGACCTTAGTTTTCATGGGTAACACAAGTGTTAATAACTTCATCTCAGCTGATCCAAAATACTAGCTTAGCAAATTAGAAATTGATAAGTTTTTGTGCAGTTATCAATATCAGATAGTTACCCAGTGCTCATGGGAGATGGGTTGCCCTTGGGTCCGGGTCTGGGTCTAGGTGAGTCCAGAAGGATATTTACATACTTCCTGGTCATTCCTTTCTTCCCCTTTAGCATTATGTATCTTCACTATATCCCAGATGATATGTGGGTTGCTATCTGGGGTTCTTCAAAAGTTACACAGCAACCAATCATGTTCTGTTTTGTAATACTAATACATTCATATCATTGGTTTTGATCCAAAACATGGGAATTATTTTTTAATTTATTTTTTTAGTTGTCAATGGATCTTTTAGTTATATGTGGTGCTGAGGATCAAACCCAGGGCCTCACCACATGCTAAGCAAGTGCTCTACCACTGAGCCACAACTCCAGCCCCAAAACATGGGAATTATTTTGACTGTATTTTAAGTTTCATATCTAAAATTCCTAAGGTGTAATTGTGGATGTATCTAAAACTGTCCTTGGTTAAGATTCATATTTTAGCTATTTAGTTAGTATTGTTCTTAGAAAGCATAGTTATGGATGACACTTGGAGATGCTAAACAGTTTTAAGATTCCCCATATAGTATTCGCACTGCAGTCTCAGAATGAGAATCCTTACTGTGTCACTACAAACTTCACTCTTAGGCAAACTGCTAAAGTTCTTTGAGCCCATTTGCTCCTCTTTTAAGGAAGGCATACTGTATATTCTACAACCATCTGAGCATTAAATAAAATAATATTATTTGTGAAAACACTCTACGAACCATGAAATCGTACACAAGCATGATATGTTTATGCCCCAGCAATAAACAATCCATCTCAGATTCACTGAAGATGTTGTTTGCCTGTGCTCTCTCAATCATGCTTTCGTATTCTTTTTTTTTTTAAGAGAGAGAGAGAGAGAGAGAGAGAAAGAGAATCTTAATATTTATTCTTTGGTTTTCGGCAGACACAACATCTTTGTTTGTATGTGGTGCTGAGGATCGAACCCGGGCCGCACGAGTACCAGGCAAGCGCGCTACGACTTGAGCCACATCCCCAGCCCATGCTTTCGTATTCTTAACACCATAATGAAAGAGTCTCATTTATAGGCCAATTTCCTCACTTAGCAATAGCTACACTATTAAAGGGTCCAGTTAGAACATGTCATTAGGTTCTTATGTGAATAAGGTTCAAACGTGTTAGACCAGAGTCACCCGTTCATATGTATAAAACGTGTGGTGTAATGGGGGACCCATAGGTGATGTTATTAGGTCCTAGTATATTCTTTATCTCTTCACATTCTGATCTACAGAAGAGGTATGAGCTATTTTTGTAAAAAATAAAGAGATAACTGATATTATTTAGTTTTTGTTTGGTGTTTAGTTTGAAAAGACCTTGATCGTTGGTCATGGTGGCCCACGTCTGTGATCCCAATGGCTCAGGAGGCTGAGGCAGGAGGATTACAAGTTAAGAGCCAGCCTCAGCAAAAGCAAGGTGCTAAGCAACTCAGTGAGACCCTGTCTCTAAATAAAATACAAAATAGGGCTGGGGATTTGACTCAGTGGTTGAGTAACCTTGAGTTCAATACAAAAAAAAAAAAAGATGACTTTGATTATCATCATCATTAGATTAAAAGATTTTGCAATTCTTGTATCTTAGGAGATGCTATCATATATATACTCAGGACCCAGATATAGGAAACTTGGCTTTCTGTGTCCAAATCTAGTAACCCTTTCACCCTTAGATAATGTAATAATTAGGGGTAGGTAAGTGGTCAAGGGTATGACAATAGCACCTATATCATAGGGTAGTTGTGTAGGTTGTTAATATATAAAGCACAAGACAGAGTTGAAACCATATTGCTATGTAAGTATTAGGTAATATTACTATTAGTATTGTTTTTCTAAAGTTTAATTTACTAATATTTGTAGTCATTGAATGTGACCCATTTCTAGGGTAAGAAGTTGATTTTTCTAACTCCAGTAATTTGAAATTTCATTTAGTGAAAACAAAACGAACAAAAAACATGTTTTTTTTTTAAACATTCCACCTCTGCCTGTAAAATCCATTAAATCCTCTAAAGTGATCAACATCTGCTGCAAATGTAAAAGAGATTGTGCAATGGGGATAGAATGGGATATTTTTCGTTCATACTCGACAGTGACACTGATTCATGGCAATCTGATTTGTATTGAGCAAGTTCTTACAAATATAGACATTTAATATATTACTCACTCAAATAATAAAAAATAACTTGGCCAGGTGCAGTGGAATGTGCCTATAACCCAAGTGACTCAGGATGCTGAGGTAGGAGGATCACAAGTTCAAGGCCAGCCTGGGCAATTTAGCCAGATGCTGTCTTAAAGTAAAAATTTTAAAAAGGGTTAGAAACATAGCTCAGTGGTAGAGCACAATGGGTTCAATCTCCAGTACTGAAGGAAAAAAAAACCTTTTTTTTTTTTTCAGGAAAAATAACTCCATCATAGTCTTTGCAGCCATTGAATAAAAGGGGAAGAAAAATATTTCCTAAGTACTGTGTAATTTAAGACCATAAATACATTATTAAACCTTTTTTCATAGAGAAGCTATCTTTCTCAATAAGTTGGAAGATATAGATAGGGTAAATGATAGAATTAAACCTTTTTATATTTTGATGCCTATTTTTCTTAAGATATTATTTAAGTGACAGAGTTTTTTTGTTTTGTTTTATTTTTTCTTCTTTTTTGCATCAATAGGGATTGATCCCAGGGTCTCATTCACCCTAGGCAAGTGCTCTATCACTAAGCTACATTCCCAGCCCAAGGGTTTGTTTATTGACTGATTTATCTTACTCTCATTTAATGATGATCACTAGTTATGAAATGTATAGAAAAATTTACAGACTGCATCCTGAATGAGTCTAGACAATTTTGGTTTAAAAGGTTGTTTGTTTGTTATGGTTTTTCTGTCTTTTCTTTTAAGTTGTTACTTGGCATCAAGGTGGTTTTCTTTGCCTCTAGCTGCATTTCTGATGTGCTGTCTGATTTGCTGAAAGCAGAGTGACTGTGCTTGTTAGACTATGTTTTTGTAAAGACGTTCTGAGCGGAAACTTCAATCTCTTTCCCCTGGTACGGCAGCACCTTTATTAGAAAAGCAGAGTCTTGTGTCTCTCCACCTCCTGCAAACCTATTAAATCAGAATCCACATTTTAACAAGATGCCCAAGTAACTTGTATGCACATTAAAGCTTGAGAAGTCCTACTTGGCAGATTAGCTGTGTGCCAGTTAATTTTCCCATTTAGAAATCCTTTTTTAGTGGCTGGGCTTGTAGCTCAGTCATAGAGCACTTGCCTAGCACATGTGAGGCACTGGGTTCGATCCTCAGCACCACATTAAAAAATATATAAATAAATAAAATTAAAGATGCTAAAAAATCCTTTTTTTTAAGCTTACAAATGGTATCTTGCTGTATTCTAGGTTATACAGCATGCCAAAATATTTTACCACTAGAAATGCCTGACATTATTACGATGTCTAGAAGTGTTCTAAGTTTGGCATTAGGTAATTGGTGAACATTGTATTTTCTCTCCCCTAGGATATTCCTGGTGACCCTGAAAGAGTCCATATCATGGAATCGATCTCTATGATGGGAAGCCCTAAGAGCCTTAGTGAAACGTTTTTGCCTAATGGAATAAATGGTATCAAAGATGCAAGAAAGGTCACTGTGGGTGTAATCGGAAGTGGGGATTTTGCCAAATCCCTGACCATTCGGCTTATTAGATGTGGCTATCATGTGGTCATAGGAAGTAGAAATCCTAAATTTGCATCTGAATTTTTTCCTCACGTGGTAGATGTCACCCATCATGAAGATGCTCTAACAAAAACAAATATAATATTTGTTGCTATACATAGAGAACATTACACCTCTCTATGGGACCTGAGGCATCTGCTTGTGGGTAAAATCCTGATTGATGTGAGCAATAACATGAGGATAAACCAATACCCAGAATCCAATGCTGAATATTTGGCTTCATTATTCCCGGATTCCTTGATTGTCAAAGGATTTAACGTTATTTCAGCTTGGGCACTTCAGTTAGGACCTAAGGATGCCAGCCGTCAGGTATGTAATTTTGAACTTCATTCTTATTTATCTGGTATTTGGTGGTTAACAAATAGCAGATATTTTAAAACCAAACTCTGACATTCTCCAATGACTATTTTGAAAACTGTATATGAGCATTTTAAGATTAATGTCCTGACCTTATAAAGGCATATTTCTATTTCCAAAAATTATGAGGAAAGCTGAAAAATATGACATTTCTGTCATAACTAGTTAATTAAAGAAAAGGCAAGTTTAGCTGATAAATGATGTGACAGTGCATTGATTCTCTCCTGGAGTCCTCCAAAACAGAAACAGTAACAGACAAGTCTTTTTCTTTCCTTCTTTCCCTTCTCCCTTCCTGTCTTCCTTCTTCTTCCCCTTCTTCCTCCATGGCAAAAGCTACTGGGTAACACAGTATTTTACCTCTGAATAAAATACTCTTCAATATGATCCTTTAAATAGTATTTTAGACTAAAGGACTTTTTTATTTTTAAATATTCATAGAATATAAAGTAGTACAGTTTAAGGGTAGATTTCAACCCGTGTAGGACAGGTAAAGACTAGATTTCTTACATTTACTTTGAGCAAGCATCTATGGATGGATAGTTCTTTATCTAGTTCAATTTGAAAGTGAAACAGATGGCAAGTTCTGTTGGTGCCCCTGGAATGAATTTTACTTTTATTTCTAAAAGTAAACACATAAAATAGTGTACTTTGAAAAAGTTGTGCTTATGTGTTAAAATTAAATATGATAAAATGATGTTACGATTTTTGTCCATAAAGATAGCTGTTAAACATTCCTTAGAAAATAAATGCATTATATCATTATATGGTGTATATCAGAGTCCTGATAATAATTCAGTTTCCTTTTTAAAATATCTTTTTAATTACAGATGAATACAATACCTTTCTTTTATTTATTTATTCTTATGTGGTACAGAGGATTGAACCCAGTGCCTCACTCGTGCTAGGCAACACACTACCACTAAGCCACAAACCCAGCCCTGCCATTTACTTTCTTTATTTTAAAGACTAGCAAAACAATACATATTTTCCCAGAGCCTATTTCCTTTTCTTTCTTTTTTTCTGTTCTTTTTTTTAAATTCTTTTTTCAATACTGGGGATCAAACTCAGGGACTCACTCAAACATGCTAAGCACATGTTCTACTACTGAGCTACACCCCCAACTTCTTGAAGTTATTTCTTAGTCCTTTTTGTTTTGTTGCATATCCACCAAAGTTTTGCAGTGGATAAACATAAAGCAAATTAGAGCGAGGACCTGAGAGTCAAACCTGAATTTAATCCTTCATTCATATTTGTTATTTAAATTTTCTAATGGAAAAAAATGTGGAACAATGGTTAAATTCAAACTGAGCTACAGGAATAGTTTAATTTGTAATTTCATAGTGGGTGTGCCCCTTTAGGAGTGTTTGGTTTATACTTTTAGATTTATTATAATATTTATCACTTATGAGAAAAAAGGTTTACTCCATTGTCACAACTATAATGAATTAATTTAGAATGCTTTTCTTATTTCTTTGGTATAAAAGAATCTCCATGTTAGAAGTTCATGAATGTTTGTATAATGGTATAGAATTCTACTGGCTAATGTTAGCTGAAATTCATGGTCCAAAGAGCTCTACATAGCTACCATTGTGTAGATAGAGTCAGCATGCAAATGTTGCAGTGTGGCTTATTTCAGAGCCTTTATACAAACATTTTTGGTAATATATTTAGAAATTTGTTTTCCCCAAACATTACTGGAGACTTTATACCAATATTTTTCTAGCCCTAAGTGAGATGACTTACCCATTAGTAACAGTAGCTCACTCCTGCAATGAACTTGGTGCTTAACAAATATTTGTTGAATTTTTTAACTCCATTACAGTACCAGTCAGGTTTTGTTCATTTGAAAGTCTAGCCTCAACACCACCTATACTATTATTATATTTCCTACAGAGATAATATTTTAGTCCTAAAAAATGGAAGTTGCTTTCCTATTTAAATTAACTATTTTTATTTTGTCAGGAATAGCATCATTATTTAAAGAAGAAAACATTTTATAAAATTACCAAAGCAGTAATATACCTGAGATTATCCATAGTTTTTCAGATACTTACTGAATTGGGTTCTAAACCTAAATTTTATAAATCGTACAGCATCATAACATAATTTAGAGGTTTTTAATTGCAAATGCCACCATCCAAAGTTCATGCCCACATTCACTCTTGCTGAATATCTGTAAAAGGTGGTGCTTATAATTACCTACGAGGCAGAATCACTACAATCCAAAACTAAATATTGTCCACAAAATCAAGAAGAGCCAGCCCCACCCTGTTTTCTACAAGAGTTATAGAGCTGGGGAGGAGCAGAGATTGCCAGCAGCTCATATTCCACCTGTGCCTGAAGGGGACACTTTGCTGCTGCTGTTAAACTGAGGGTCCTAGAAAAGTGCACCTTTCCTTCCAGCTGCCTCCCTTGCCCTTGAGGACTCCCCTGTGTGAATCCTAGGTTTCCACTAGATTTTTTTTATACTTTATTTTCATGTTATCATAGGTGATAAGGACTTTGTGTGTGTTTGTTTTTAATGACATTATTTAAAATCTATTGATAATAGGTTGGTAAATTAATCAGTGCTTTATCTCCTGAATTTTAATCATTTGCATTGCTCAAAGCCCTTACAAGTGATGCATCATGGATTAAGTAGAGCATGTGATGAATGCAACTTTTATAAACCAATCATGAGTTGTTTTTTTTGTTTTTCCTGCAGGTTTACATATGCAGCAACAATATTCAAGCTCGACAACAGGTTATTGAACTTGCCCGCCAGTTGAATTTCATTCCTGTTGACTTGGGATCATTATCATCAGCCAGGGAGATTGAAAATTTACCCCTGCGCCTATTTACTCTCTGGAGGGGGCCAGTGGTGGTAGCCATAAGCTTGTCCACATTTTTCTTTCTTTATTCTTTTGTCAGAGATGTGATACATCCATATGCAAGAAACCAGCAGAGTGACTTTTACAAGATTCCTATTGAGATTGTGAATAAAACCTTGCCTATAGTTGCCATTACTTTGTTGTCTCTGGTATACCTAGCAGGTCTCCTGGCAGCTGCATATCAGCTTTATTATGGCACCAAGTATAGGAGATTTCCACCTTGGCTGGAGACCTGGTTACAGTGCAGGAAACAACTCGGATTACTAAGTTATTTCTTCACTGTTGTCCATGTTGCCTACAGCCTCTGCTTGCCGATGAGAAGGTCAGAAAGATACTTGTTTCTCAACATGGCTTATCAGCAGGTACTGAAAGTGCTTATTATTTATCTGATGCTAGTCAACTTTATCAATATAAATTGTGAAACATAAGATTTAAAATAATGTAATATTTTATATACCTTGTCATGGAAATATTCTGCTGGTATATTTTGGGAGGGAAAGAATTATTCTTTAAACAGTTATTTTGCATAAGAATTATGTGACTCATTCAAAATCATTTCAGGTAAAAACAACTACTATCTCCTTTACAGAATACAAGCCAGGAAGTTGAGGGTTATTTGGGCGGTTCCCCCCACCTTTTAATGTTATGATTGTAATGACTGTTTCTAACATTAATTTTAAAATAACATTAATTATTGTAATGTTTTATAATCAACCATGGTCCACAAAATAATGCAACTCGTGGTAAACTTATACAATGAAATTAGAACCAGTGAATATATAAAACAAAATAGGTACTCAGATCAGGAGAAAAAAGTAGTATGTACTTCTGCTGGCTAAGAATGTCTATGTAGCTTCTGTTTTGGCTTTGAGATTTCGGATACAGTAAAAAAGGAGACATTGTTAACAATGTCTTGTTGGTTCTTGTTGTCAAAGAGCAGAAAAATATGCTAGTTCCTTTGGTGAAGCTTTTCTAGTGCTTAGCTCTCCCAGAAAATCACAGGGAGACCTTCATGGGAGAAACTTGATGATGAGGTTGACTGATCTCACTAATTCCCATTCCACAAATGTAAAATGAGGGATTTCACTGAAGCTATTTGGTGTAGCATTTCTCAAAGAAAGTCAAAATCACTGCACCAAAACAAATGTGTAAAAGTATTTATATTTTATAAGAAACCAAGACATCATAGTCCAAGTATGTAGCATCTACTACTTCAGCTTGTTTCAACAATAGAACCTAAAATAATTGTTTGAGTTAGCAGATGGATATCCTTCAAGCCATCTGCTCTCTGAAAGTACCACTTCTCTTAACTGAATACTAAGGCTTTGATATCTGCTCATTCAGCTTCCTCACCTCCTTCAAATTTTTGCTCAGCTCTTAACTCAATGAGGCCTACAGTGGACACTTTTTAAGTTCCGCCACTTGCCTCCAACCCAGGCACAATACTCACAGGCCCTCTTAATCCTGTTCTAAGTTTGTTTTTCCAATAGCACTTACCACCCCATAACACACTTTTGTTTTCATTGTTTATTATATTTTCTGTTGTCTGCTTTCTCTCATCAGAATGTGAGTTCATGAGAGGGGGGATCTTTGTCCCTTGTTGTTCTGTAATGTATGGCTGATTCCCAGAATTCTGCCTGGACACAGTATATGCTCAAAAAGTCTATTTGTGAGCCAGATGTGGTGGCTCACGCCTGTAATCCCAGCAGATGGGGCGGGGGTTTATGCTGAGGCAAGAGGATCAAGAGTTCAAAGCCAGCCTCAATGAAGGCAAGGCACTAAGCAACTCAGACCCTGTCTCTAAATAAAAAAATACAAAATAGGGCTGGGAATGTGTGTGGCTCAGTGATTGAGAGACTCTGAGATTTGTGATTGGGTGCCCTGAGTTCAATCCTAGGTACCAAAAAAAAAATACATATATATATATGTATATATATGTGTGTGTGTGTGTGTGTGTGTGTGTGTGTGTGTGTGTGTATTTATTTATTTATTTATGGAATGAACTGGGAAGGGAGGTAGATCTGGATTGTAGTCTCTCAATGTACCAAGGTACATTTATTGTATCGTAGGAATATGGAACAAGATGCGAGGAGCCTTTTTCTGGTATGATAGCTTCATGGAACTCTAAGAATTAGCCTTTTTTTCCTTTCTTTTTCTCTTTTCTTTTTTTTTTTAAATTTCAAGTCTGTTTTGTTAATTAAAACTAGACAAAGTTAAAAAGCTATTGAGTAAAAATATGTTTTCCATGAATAGATATGTAAGTCAAAACTGCAGCTTATCTTTAAACCCCTGATTTATGTTCTAATTATATTGTTTTCAAATAAATAGATAATTCTAAAAGCAGTTTCTATGCAAATTACCACAAATTCATAGTTATGTCTGACTTGATTATATATTAATTATCAATGTAAGGGAAAGATGTTTGGAAAAATACTGTATATGCATGAGGCATTTAGATTTTGAAAATTATATTAATGAGGTGATTCAAGTGGATAAATATTTCAGCTTCATAGAGCTGAATCCTAAAGGAAATCCTATTTTCCTAGGCAAGAAAGGTAAGAAGAAAAAGATGGACAAACACAGATATGCATGTAGGGAATGAAGACGCAAAAGTAGTTTAGAAATTCCCTGCCTGGATTCTATGTTAAACTAAGGCCAGAATGTACATAAAATACTCAAACAACTATAAACAAACTTGTGAGAGTCCCTCTGAATTAAGTCTAACTGCCAGTACTTCTTTTGTGTTCCTGGGGGAAGCAACCAGGGGGCATTTCACAGTCTTGGATTCCAGAGTCCCAGTAACAGACATGCCCTGCACACGTGGTGGCAATTGTTTGCTACCCTCAGCTTGCACATGTGCAAGGAGGAGAAAGTGTCAGTCCTGTTTTTGTTTAACATACCCTTTCTTTTCCCTTACACCAGAAACAATACCAAACAATAATAGGTTTTCCAAATGGTTTGTTAAATGGAAATAATACAACTTAAGTGTGTCCATATATGACCTGATTCTTAAGCCAAGAGTAAACTCAATGCTGAATCAGTTAATGTACTACCAAAAAAAAAAAAAAGGAAATTCATGTTTGTTTTCTTGTTAGGTTCATGCAAATATTGAAAACTCTTGGAATGAGGAAGAGGTTTGGAGAATTGAAATGTACATCTCCTTTGGCATAATGAGCCTTGGCTTGCTTTCCCTCCTGGCTGTCACTTCCATCCCTTCTGTGAGCAGTGCTTTAAACTGGAGGGAATTCAGTTTTATTCAGGTATGTATGTGGAGTTTTGTTTGTTAGGGATTGGGCAGCATAGAATTTCATTGTTAAGCAAATTTGAATTTTAAATATACTTCTTATTAAAAGCGCTTTTAGGGTTATATTCATGCATCTAATTCATAATGCTAGAATCCAGCTAGTACCACTCTGATTTAATAAGTGAAAAACCAGTACATCCTTGTACTGGAAGACTTTGATAGCACTGTCCCCTATGTGAAGGATAAAGGTTACTTTATTAGGAAAGAAAAAAATGAAAGTGGAAGAATATAGATCACATTTAGTGCTAAAAGTCAATTATTATTAGCCAAATGAATGAAAAATTATATTTTGAGTCATCTTGATGTTTCTGGGGGAAAAATCTTATTAATTTGAATACAAGTGTGGAGAAAGTAAGTCTGAATATTTTAAAGAAATGTGTCAAATTAGGTAACCAGGTTAATGGATTATGACAAGCAAACAACCCTGTGAATCTAGTTAGTATATGTATTTAACATATCTTCATATACTAATGTATAAGAGTATCTGTAGAGGAATTTTAAAACACCATTGTGTTCTTTAAAAAAACCATTCTTCTTTTCCAGTAACATCTATATAATGAATTTGCACATTTTAAAAATATATAAGCCAGATTTAAACTCTACCTATAGGATCACAAAATCTGTACTGGTTGCATACAAATGGTTTATAGCACACTATATGGATCAGAGCTATAAAATAAGTGCCATAAAACAAAGTAAGTTTTGTTTCTCTGCCAATATATTTGAACTTTTCTTAAAGTCATGTAAAAAAACTATATTCAAATTAAGAACATAACCTTTGTCTAAATTCATCTTTCCTTTCTGAAGATAATGTGAAAACTTTCCCAATTTTGGTTAATCATACATGAAAAGAAATAGAAGACCCTCTGATTAAAGGCCCACCTTTTATGCTAGACAGGTGCATATTATCATAAATTTAGATGAGTAATTGCAAACATCCTGCCTGCCAGAGTTGATATTTTCCTGGTGAAGTCAGACATTACATCATTATACTGATTTAATATTACTTTTATGTAACAAACCATTTCTCAAAGTAAGCAATCTTATACATACTAATTTAGGGAACTGAAGAATGCTAATCTTTTAGAATTTAACCTATAAACTGCCTAACTACAGTACTCTTAATAATTACATTCATTATGGTCAATAAAGCTAATGTTTGAATTGGTATTTCTATTTACATATCAATATTATAAGATTTTTCATATTTTCCTACTAACTAGTATGTATATAATATGTATGTGTACCCTTAACATTTATGTTCCATGTATTCAAGTGTGTGTGTGTGTGTGTGTGTGTGTGTGTGTGTGTGTAATACATACAAATACACACTTTGTATACATAGCTGGTGGGAATGTGGATAACCTTTATAAATAAGAGTTTAGCATTGTGTATCAGTATTCTTAAGGAAAAGTAAGATGTTTTGACTAAAAATGACACTAGTAGAGATCATTCTTAAGGAAATAAGCCTAAATATATAAAATGACCTAAAGTTATATTATTTATAGTTGAAGAATGTTGGAAATGGAGTAAATGAGCAACAAAAAAGAATTATTAAATAAATTATGGACATCATTCAATCAAATAATATTGACATCCAATTTGGCACTGTGGCACATACCTGTAATCCCAGAGACTTGGGAGGCTGTGACAGGAGAATTCAAAGTTCTAGGCCAGCTTTAGTCACTTAGTGAAGCCCTAAGCAATTTAGCAAAACTCTATTTCAAAATACAAAATTTAAAGGGCTGAGTATGTAGTTGAGTGATAAAGAACTCCTAGGTTCAAGCCTCAGTAACACCTCCCACCCCCCCACTCTCCAGCCCCCCCCAAATGTCCTGTTTTTATTTTTAATTACATGAACATGTTCTTGATACAATATACTATTAAAATAATGTATTGATTTTGGCCCTATTTATGTAAAATAAGGTGTGCATGTAAATAGTCAGCATGTAATGTATAAAATATGAAAGTGTTGAAGATTGTTTAATTCGGAGAGGACAAAGAGTAGTGCAGTAATTTAAAAAGACAAAATAGTTTTATCAAGATATAATCATGGTATATCTGGATAGGTTAATTCATGAGTCTGAATATTTGTTATCTTATTGTTTTTTTGTTTTCTTTTTCTTCTTCTTCTACCCCAAGTCTACACTTGGATATGTTGCTCTGCTCATAAGTACTTTCCATGTTTTAATTTATGGATGGAAGCGAGCTTTTGAAGAAGAGTACTACAGGTTTTACACACCACCAAACTTTGTTCTTGCTCTCGTTTTGCCCTCAATTGTAATTCTGGGTAAAATTGTCTTATTTCTTCCATGTATAAGCAGAAAACTGAAAAGAATTAAAAAGGGCTGGGAAAAGAGCCAATTTCTAGAAGAAGGCACTGGAGGAACAATTCCTCATCTTTCCCCAGAGAGGGTTACAGTAATGTGATGATAAATGGTGCTCACCCCGCCATATCAAGTGTTATGACTTCCTCTGTGTTCGGTTGTACATGTGCTGTCAAATAACTATGGTTTGAAATCTGTTAAGTAATATTTCAATTGAATTAGTAATAGAATTTTCTCCAAGTTAGCTTTCACAAATGTCCTATTTTGCCAATATGAATTTTTGTAGTCAACATATTGTTGAAATGTAGGTATGTTTTGTTTTGTTTTGCATAACTGTAACACTATTGTTGTTTTATCTATATTTCATAATCAGGCAAAATATATATAATTAATAATATAAATATAGGTTAAAACAATATGCAAACCAGCAGAATCTGAAGCTTTAATATGATTCAATGGATATACTTTTTTCTGAAGCTTAAGTAAGGTTTTAATTATTATCCAATTTAATAAACAAAATTGGGTAATTATACATTATTAGAAAAGGACAATTATGTTAATATCTAGGTAATATATATACTTTTCTCATAAGATACGAGTTGAAGAATGTAATTAATTGTATGAAGCAATGTGTTTAATTAAATAAACACAAATTAAAAAGACAAACTTGAAATTATATTTAAAATGCACTGTAGACATGAAATACAACTGATAACATACAACTCAAGAAAGATTTTTTTATCATGTTACAGAGCAGTTTAATTTTCATCTTAATTAAATTGGACAGGGAAAGGACTCAGAATTATTTGGCCTCCAAAACTGATGTATATACATATATATATTATATATTATACACAGACACATATATATTATAAATATATATGTATATTTATATATATATTATCTATCCTGGAAATTGGATATTGTTCTTAGAGAAAAAGTACAGGTTTAGACATGTATGGTGATGCTCATCTATAATTCCAGTGACTTGGTAGGACAAGGCAGGAGGATTGCAAGTTCAGGTTCAGCCTCAGCAACTCAGTGAGGACCTAAGCAATTTAGCAGTGACCTTGTTTATAAATAAAAAAAGCTGGGGATGAAGCTCAGTGGTAAAGTGCCCCTGTGTTCAATGCCCAGTACCAAAAAGCAAAAAAAAAAAAAAAAAAAAAAAGTGTAGTTTTACACATTACACACAAGTAGTTATTTCTTAGATGAGCTTTGCTGTTGCACCTAGTTATCACCACTCTCTGTGATAGGGGATATTACTGATGCTCATTCTGGGATTTTAAGTACTAGGCATGGTTGTATTACCCCACTTAATGCTTACAAACATTAAGCTCAAAAAACATGTGAGAAAGACAGTTATCTTCATTTTACATAACTGAAGGATAGAAAAGTTATTTTCCCAAGGTCACACAGAGGCACAGTAAGCATTCAAGTCCAGGCAGACATGTTCCAGAAGCCAGGCTTTAATCACAAGGCTCGACAGCCCCTGCTCCATCCCCACACATTACATTTATGATGCCAGCCTAGATGCCTTCTCTCTGTATAAAGGCAGCAGCATTCTTCAGAGTAGGTCATGTACATCAAAAGATGTATGAAAATCTGCCAATTGTAAATTTATTATTGCTTGCAAATAAGTCCATAGTTATTTACCTGGCCTGGAGCGTGAGCCTAGAGACCCCCCGATAGTGCATATACCCACCTTTGCAGTGAAGACTCAAGCAAAGAGAGGACCGCAGCAGTGATAATGAAATTACTGAAATCTTACAGAATTAAAAAAAAAAAATCCCTGAAAAATTGGATATCTCCTTTTCTCTTCCTGAGAAGGCCTCCTGCCTGTACAACCATTCATTAAGGAACAATTTATTAGCATGAAGGATATTAAGATAAGTGGTTAATTATACATCTAGAGGCATATAATCATATTATTCATAAAATTTCTCAGTGCTGACATTCCACATGTAAACTGCATTTTGTTCAAACCTTATAATATCCTACATTTTCCTCATTCTCTCTTATTAAAATAGGAAGTTGCAGACGAGATACAATCATATCCATTCCTCTTCCTGAAATTATGTCATTTCTCAACTTACCTATTGACTTGAATCCAGTTGCCAAAAATAAAAGGACTTACTTAGTGTAGTCTACCTTTCCTGCCAATGATTCTTTTCCTACGACTGCACTGTCAGTCTGGTAAATCTCTCAACCTTCTCTGATGTTCTCTTTTTGGTGAATTTTAGTATCTTGTACTTCCTAATTGAGCTCTCCATTTTCTTTGTGTTAATTACATCTCTCCCCTCTAAATAATTCCCTTCTTGTTAGTTCTTGGTAGGAATTCAGTTGGGTGATAACTATTAAGGATAACTACTTAACCATGCTATTATTGTGAACTAGTGAAAATAGCATATTTTCAATGCTTTTCTTGATCCTTAAATTTCATTCTCAAGACTATGCTTTACCGATTTAATGTGAAAATACAATGAAATATTTCCAAAAGTTAAGTAAATATTAAAGTTTATTGTCATATGTATATTTTAAGTAGCCAATGATATGAATAAAATTATCACTAGTACAGATAATTGAGAACGTGGAAAATGTGAAAAAACAAACTGATGAACATGTGTAAACGAAGCAAATATTATTGCACATGACAGTATTTCTTTTGCGTGCTACAAAAACAGAATAATTTTGAAATTTTAGAATAAATGTAATTCTAACATTTAATGGCCTTTCTAAAAGTGCAAGTCTATTGATTTTCAATTGCTTTATGTTACTGTTTCTGTGAGTTTTTTCCCCTTATTTTTCATATCTTTTACTTTTTGGAATCATTTTTTTGGCCTCAGTAGTAGAACTAAATTTTGCTGTTGCTAGATGTGAGGAGGTGGTGGTGGGCACATTTAGAAGATTAGAGATTTGTTTCCTGATCTGTGTTTGAGAAGTGGCCCTGAGAAAATCGTAAGAATGTAGAACATATATTTTCCCAGTTTTTATCCTATGCAATGAAAATCAATTTTTTTCCTATGAGGAAACCAACCATGAGCTATATCAAACTACTTAGCTTTTGTATACAGATTTCATATCTCCTTTTAAGAATATTTAATATCACATTTAGATATAATTATATTCATGGTAACATTTATTTTTCAAAGTGTACATGAAATTTAGCCCAGACTGTCTACATATGAGATTTTTATTTAAATTTAAAAATATTTAGACATATGAATAAATTATATTTATAGTTGTTTATCAGAGGTAATTATTTTGTGCTACATATAGGGTTAGTGTTAGATGTCTAATTAATTTCTTCTAAATTATTACAACCTTGAGTTGACTAAAGAATTTTACTTTCAAAATTAATTTAATAATAGTAATGTTAGATATATTAATACTTATAGCCAAATTGTGAAAATTACTTGTGTAAAAGGGCTTCAAGAATATATCATATCCAATTTTTGTATTATTTATCTCTTATGGAAAACAACCTTACTTATTTTAATTGTCTTTTGCCATTAAACTACTCCGTAAAAAATTCTGTTCAGAGAACATCCCCTGCTCCAAAAAGAGGTTTATTTATGATATTTAACTTTTGTTTGTTGGTTTTAAATAATTGTACCATAAGTGTAATTCAAAAGTATTTCCTTAGGAAAACTGTAAACACTGAGCTAATTATACCTATGTCTAGCCATAAAATCCTTGTTTTGAAATAAGTATTTAAACAGCCTAAAAGATTGTGTTTTAATTCTTTTGTAAATTCACAACTTAAAGCAGTGCTGGCAGGGTGCGATGGCTCATGCCCATAATCCCAAGGACTCCGAGACTGAGTGAGGCAGGAGGATTGCAAGTTCCAGGCCAGCCTCAGCAACTTAGTGAAATCCTGTCTTGAAATAAAGGGATGTAGTTCAATGGTAAAGCACCCCTGGTTTTAAATCCCAGTACAAAAAAAAAAAAAAGAAAAAGAAAGAACAAACAAAGTAATGCTATCATAGTACACTACTGTCTACTGTTAAGGTTTATATTTGTAATGTGTCATCATGAAAATGAGATGCTCCACCCTCAATTGTTCATAAGTCAGTAAAGGAGATTGTGGTATACATTCAGTATAGGCAAATATCTCTAAATGAAATCATAATAATTTTAGTGGAAACACAATCTGTTTGGACTTTAAACAGTGAATTTTACAGGAATGAATAGGTTCTTGAGTTTTTAGTGTGAGGAAATTATAAAGTACTTAATTTTCAGTTTGTCCATCTGATATTAAAAATATTTTTGTTCATCCTAATATACATAAATACTGATTTTTTTAACTTTACAAATCTTTGAATTTTCATTGTCCCTTCTTCCAAAATTAAGGCTGACTACAAATTCTTCCATTTGCTAGATGGACTAAAAGTATCTGCTTTTCTATGATTTCCAAATTGCAAACTTCAAGGAAATATTCTCTCAGAGATTTTCTTCCAAGGTCTTTCATAGCATTGCAGATGGTGAGCATGAACAGGGACTGGAACTTGTTTCCCAATGTCTATTTACCCTACTTCGATTCTATAAAAGCAGCCAATCATCAGTTTTCAGCTGCCCTTGCAGTTGGCTGTCTGTGCTGATGAAGTCTCCAAGGAAGGTCACAGCTCTATATCATCCCTCCATCTTGCTGCTGGGATTGTGGATACAACAGGATCTTGGGCAACTATTTCCAAAATTCAAGGCTATACCCTAAGGAAGATAGATTAGAGACTACCAAAAAGACTATAACAATTTCACTACTTCCACAGCTTTTCCCTGCATTAAGTATTATAAATTTGGGTTTCTTTGTTAGATGGAGTCAAAATTAATTTTTCTGGTCTCAGTTCTTTATCTTAATGGCATTTAATACTGTTGATTAATATAGACTGCAATAATTCTTTTAAAAGCTGTTAAAGGATAATATGCAATTCACATTAAAAGTGATTTTCCATTGTTAATTAACTACTCATTTTCTTGCCTTGATTTTTTCATCTGATGTTTTGTACCTGCTTGGAAAATATGGATTTCTTTGTAATTGTGTAATTCACATTTGCTAAAACTATGTAATCTCTAATATACTGCTATCAAGTTACATGCCATGTTTTTATATCATTCTCATAGATCTGCCTTATACATATTTAAATAAAAAGTACTATTTAATGTTTTAATTTCTTTTTCTTTTTGGTGGTGCTGGGGATACGAACCCAGGTCCTTGCACATATGAGGTATTAACTTCTCTTTTGAAATGTTATTGTGTACAAATGGATTGTTTTATCTTACCTAATATCAGTATTTGATTGAAGTTACTACTTTTCTGTGTCTTTAAGAAGCATCCAGAAAGCACATCTGTGTGATGGTCTTATTGGGTGGGAGGGCATTTTTTTTTTAATCCAAGTAGTCACTTAGGACAACCTCCATATTTAATGAGGTGGTACTCTTAAAAAATATTTAATTTCATTAAGCATTTTAAAATCAAAATACACACTATATTCAAGGTATTCTATAAGCTCCCTGGTATCAGGGATGTTGTCTTATTCACTATTGAATCCCTGGCACTTAGTGCAGTATAGTCTAGATAGATATAAAAGAGATGTTACAGTGAATCATGACTCATTTTATAGAAAATTATTTATCACCTCACATCTGTGATACTGTGTCTGTTGCTTCCTGTCTCTTGCCCACATTCCTCCCCAACATTGCCTCCACCTTCTGCCTTGCCTCCTGGCCAGTGGCCTGGAGCTGCCCTGTTCTACTAGCAAGGAGACACTGCTGCCACCACCACCATCACCACCATCACCACCACACTGCTTTATGTTGAGTTCTGTTTGCTGCAGCATGGGGAGAAACCCACCAGCCTGTTGCATAGGGCCTGTGGAGGTTCTGCCTGAAAACATGTGTTAGTCTTGATGGCAGGATTACCACATAAAATACAGGCCTTTCAGTTAAATTTGGATTGCAAACAATGAATAACTTTTTACTATGTTATAAGTATTTTTTCTTTTTTGCTAAATCTTACAACCCTATTTGAGGGATGAACTTTGATCAAAGAGGTATAGCACGTACATAATGAAGATATTAGATAAATTCTCCCTTAATTTCTTCCAGATGGGCTGTTCCAAAGTTTAGTGGTTCATAAGAACTTCAGGAAAATATCCCAAATGACCAAGGAGTTAACTAAACTTGCTACAAATCCATGAGTAGCTCAGGAACACCTATATTTCTTGTGTGTTCATGGCAGGCTTTTACCTAGGCTGGTAAAAGTGGATTATTTCATTGGATGGTAAAGCAAGAAGTCAATGATGATTGTGAAAAAATCAGGCACGGGACCCAGTAAGTTCAACATCCAGAGTTGTTTGCAATCCCTAAGGACATATCCACAATGATCAAATATGTATTGATAAATCATTTAGTCAGAATATTAATTTATCACTACTGTGAGAAATTTCAGTGGGTCCTTTGTCAAGAATTCCTGTATTGACGTAACAAAATGTATTCTATTCCTAAATCCAATGTTTATTATAAGAACTCAAATTTTAATCTATAAAGGATGTTGGGATCCACTATGGGTTAAATTGTGTCCCCCAAAATTCAAATGTTGAATCTTAAAACAGAACTTTAAAGAATACCACTGTATTTGGAAATGTGGACTTTAAAGAGGTAATTAAGATAAGATGAGGTCTTATGGGTGGACCCTAATCCAATAGGACTAGTATCCTTATGAGATTAGCATACAGACATGCACAGAGGGAAGACCATGTGAAGAAAAAAGGAGAAGACACAAGGCAAGAAGAGATAGTTTCAAAATGAAACTGCTGAAAATTTTGACCCAGAAATGTAAGGAAATAATTTTCTGTTTAAACCACCCATTAGGTGGTATTAGTCACAGCCACCACAGCAAATAATTACAGGTCCATGAATTCAGAACAAGTCAAGTTAGTTACAGAACCCAAATAATGTTTTTGGAATAAATTTGATTAATCCTGCTCCACAACAAAGGCAATTCTATCTTGTGGGTACTTCCCACAAGTTTAGTTTTTTCCATTTGTTTAGTTTTTTCACTAAACATGAATGGTTTTTCCAGCTTCCACTTAAAAATCACTTGCAATTTGGATTATTGCTGGTATACTTTTCATTAGAGAGGTTGACTTCAAGTGTGACTGTTCTTTTATTTTCATTTTCTGTTCCACATGGTTACTATTCTTGAATTTACATTAATGATTCTGTTGGAAAGAGGAAATTTATTTATTTATTAGGTCTTCTTTCTGTAAAAGTCAACTTAAAAGATTGCTTATAACACTGAAGTAGATTAAGTTGCAGCTTTGTATATGTTTCTTCTTCTAACATAATTTTCCTAAAGCTAACCTAAGACTATAATTATATCTTATATGTGCTACAAAAATTTTTTATTGAAAATTAATTACCTTAAGGAATAAGATTTACTTGAACATTTCACAGGCATTAGTTTAGAGACTACCAATTCATATGTAATCTAAAACACTTTTTAGAAATGCTCTTAATTTATGCTAATGAATTCAATTTTACTAAACATTACTAACCTAGAGTTCAAACAAGAAAAAATTCAGAACAAAAAAATAATAAAAAGTACATTAGTATTACACTCATTTTAAAATATATTTTGCTTTCATTGTTATTTTTAAAAGTAAAAATTGGGTCTGGAATTGTGGCTCAGTGGCAGAGTGCTTGCCTAGCTGTGTGAGGCAGTGGGT